AAAGCCTTTTCTACACTAGATGTAAAAATATTGTTTGACAAAGAATACATAAAATATGTTATAGCTTATTGGTGAAACATTTAATATAAGAGTTTGAGGTTGCATGTTGTAAATCTTGTAAAGATCATATGCATGCTTTTTTTTTTTTGAAGAAATGATTTCAACATTTATAACGATTGCAATCGCTACAATAATCATAACGATTGGATGTAGTTTTTCGTATCGATGATTGAGGCCAACCCCAACGATATTGAAAACCACTACTAAAGGCTAAGGTAATAGGGGAAATCGTATCGAATGACCATTCATTGGGAAAACTTTTTGTTGCAATTACAATCGATATTAAAGGTTAAAATAAGGATAATTTTCAAAAAACCACCCAAAAATGTGTTGAATTTCTAACTAACCACCCAAAAAAAAAATTATTTTAAAATACCACCCATTAAATTAATTTTTTGCTCAGATTCCCACCCAATTTGAAAATCGGTGGTTTTTTAGCTTGTGGGGCCCACATAACGGCTAGTTTATGCTTTTATTTGTTTTCTTCCCCCGAATTTTCCTATAAAAGTGTATTCCTTATTCAATTTTTGCAATTAGAAGCAAGCTTAATTTTGTGTAATTTAGGGAAAAATTTTGTTTAGGAGCAAAAATTGAATAAGGAATACACTTTTATAGGAAAAATCGAGGGAAGAAAATAAATAAAAGCATAAACTAGCCGTTATGTGGGCCCCACAAGCTAAAAAACCACCGGATTTTCAAATTGGGTGGGAATCCGAGCAAAAAATTAATTTAATGGGTGGTATTTTAAAATAAATTTTTTTTTGGGTGGTTAGTTAGAAATTCAACACATTTTTGGGTGGTTTTTTGAAAATTTTCCTTAAAATAATCGCTACAAAAAGGTTATCTTCTTGTAGTGGCTTCATCACAATCTTTTTTACCATGGCCAAGATTCCCACACACATAATTAATAGAACAACGACAGCTTCTCATACTTGATCTCGAAGGTTTCTTTCACCCCTCCTCTCATCTTCAGCCTTATTTATTTAATGAGAGGCTTTCTCATGTCGATCAAATTTCTGATACACAAGGATTTGTTAATCCCTATAATGTTAGAATTATCCAGCGCCATAAACGTCCCAACTTTATTTCCGATAGTTTTTGCATTAGGTTCATTGTGTCGTACGTCCTGTAAAAGGAAGGTCATAAACACTAATCCAGAAAGAGGTGTGGTGAAGAGGGATGTCAGATGGTTTATCATCCCCATTAACATCACACAAAGCTAAAGTATGTCGATCAAACTGCCAAGGTCGGGCATCCATAACAAATTGCTTATCCTTCCAGTAATGGAATTTGAAGAAAAAGGTGTTTTTTCCAATACGATTCGCCTCCATCCCATGTTTAGGGCTCCAACTTTGCTTCATAGTCGCAATTAGAGCATTTCTATTGACGTTTCTCTCCGTCCATGTAACACCCTAGAAATTCCTTTCCTTAAAAAATACCTATCTTACTCTTTAAAATACGATTTAGGAATATCTAAGACATTACCGCCACCGTGAGAACGGTGAAGGCAATTATCAAAGACACACAGCGGAAGACTAAATTCAAAATCGTTTAAAACAAGTCAACTCAAAAGTTAACCAAACGAAAGTAAAGTTAAAACCAAAAGCAAACGAAGTCAAATAAAATCATCCTACAACTTGGAACCATTAAAGGCCCTTATTAAAACTAAACCAAATCCAAAACTTTGCGTTATCTCCACATATAAATAATATCATAATTAATTAAAGCATAAAAACACATCATAAACTAATGGAAACTAGTATGATTCGCTCTTCACTCATGCCCCGTCATGAATATGCTTTAATATCCGAAAAGCTTATCTCTACTTGTTTCCACTACTCTCCATTAAAAATGGATCATCATAGGGCCAAGGTAAAGACAAGGCCAATAAACACGCAAACACATAATCAGCAAAGCTGAGTACATAAGAGTAATTAAACACACTAACATGCTTTCACCTATCAACACACACTTACCTCGATGCACCTGTTTACAAGCACACACAACATTCAACAAGACTTTTCAACTAGACACTAAATAATTTATTTATCATATCATTGATTACACATCGAACGGGTTTCCCAATCTACCTCCCCCAAATTAATTGAGATTACTGACACGGGAGCTAACCGTGCCAGCATCAAAACCACACATAGGTGGTGGAATTCCTGCGCATAATAATAATAAAAAGGAATGTGCAGCGTCTTGTACTCCAGTAGAAGTTATGATCAAATATAAAGTCACATAACTCCCCCATATGTTCATACTCAATGTATATACGTTCCAAGAGTTTTGGTGCGTAATCTCTTTCACTTTACGTTATTTACAGATTATTAGACTTGGTGATGAATCTCAACCATAATCATTCAATCAATAATAATTATTCAATCAATCAAACATAACAATTTAATTCTTGAATAATTAGTGACCACATAATATTTAATGTTGAACCATTTTAAATCTACCTCGGTGTCAAAGACACCTTAAACGCTTAAAGCGCCACAAATCTTATCCCTCGGTGTTGAAAACACCTTAAGTGCACTAAGGCACCAACATACAATTTATTCCTCGTGTACATAGACACTTATATAGCTCCTTTCCCATGCTTATAGCATCAATAAAAGTTATATGAACCATAATAAAGTTCCTTTTTAATATTCCAAGCCTAATTAAACATGTTGTTTAATTAAACATGCATTCTATCATGCCATAAATAAAAGTGTAGTCCATATAATCATGCCAAAAATATAATTTTCCAATCCATAATCCATCACAAATAAATCATGCTTCACAATTCAATCACCAACATCAATAATCCACAATTCCAAACATAAATCTTAGCATGATACTACATCACCAAAATATGCTAAGTACGCGAACGTACCTTGAATACGATCTTAAAATCTCCACGACTAATAAAAATTGCTCACTTCAAAGTCTCCTACAATTTAAAATCATAGAAGAGTATTAAAATCCACTCCACACAAATTTTCAGCAATATATACTATTATAAAACCCCTCATAATTTAATTAAAATAAGCTGAAGTTATATTTAAAACATCATACTTTAATCCCAATCAATAGCTAATTAAAATTCCTTAAAGAAACTTGATTTTAAATGCTCTACTAAAAATTCCAGCACTTTATTTTAATTAAAACTTTCTGTAATTAAGCCTTAAAACACTTTAATCAAAGGTCTAAACCATAATACATCATAATCCTTCAATAATTCATAAATCAAGAACCTAGGGTTTTAAAAATTGGGGCTTTTTAATTAAAAACACAATCTGAAAATTAATTAATGTACTACTCATAATCAAACATCAAAAATCATATCCCAAAACTCATAATTAATATTTAGATCTAGGATTAAAGCAACAATTAAACAAAAGACAAGTTTTTTTTTCGAAGAGGGGTGTGTAGCGGCAGCCACCACGCCTGCTGCTAGCGACGGTGGATGACGCTGCTGGCGGTCGGTGGCCACTGTTGCTGGTGGTTGGCGGTGGGGGGGGGGGTGCCGAGAACAGGAAAGGGGAAAAGGGGAAAGAAAAAGAAAAATAAAGAGAAAAAGGGATAGAAGTTTACTTTGGGTTTTCTCTACTCTGGGCAAAGTCTGCTTTGCCTCAAGTATTGAATATTTATACCCCTTTTCTAGAAACCCTTCTCCCTAAACTTCCTCTTTTAATTTCCCTAATACTTTCTCTAATAAAACTTGTTAAAATCATACTTTCCTAAAATAAACCCCAACTTTTATAAAATAATAATTAAATAATCTTTCCCTTTTATAAAATACTTCCAAACTTATATCAAGTAAATAATTAAAATGCAATACTTACAACATTAAAATTATTTAAATACTTTTACAAAATGTATAACAATACATGGTATTATAGTCCATACCTTCCCTACAACCCCCAAAGCAACCCTAGTTTCCTCATCCTCCTTTCCCTCTATCTGCAATACTATTATATCTATAATATAATACCTAACCTACAACCCCCAAAGCAAACCCTAGTTTCCTCATACATACCTTCCCTATTGTATCTATATTATAGTTACATTATATACACATCAAATTCTCATGTGAGCCTTATTCCACACACACACATATATATTATATATATAAAGAAACAGAGACAGTTGATGTTTTAATTGAAACGACTAAAGTATATATGTCATATGTTTAATCCTACCAATGAAAAGTGGGTATTTTATGAGAGTAGAGGAGTGGCTTTAGGATAGTTATTTAGTTAATCCGACAACAAACATCTTTCAAGCTTGAGTCAAGTGAGTTTGATACTACGTGACCCACTGTCAATCAAAGAATATGAGCCATATTTATTATTCTGTACTTCCTCCGTTTTTAACTACTTGCTTCACTTTCCTTTTGCGGCCGTTTTTCAATACTTGCTTCATTTCCTTATATAGAAAGCTTTTATAATATGTATTTAATTCATTTATCTCAACTAGTGGGACCCAGTTTTATTACTTTTAGATTCTCTCTCCTCCAATTTACCTTCCACTAACCCCACAACCTCTAAATTTTATTACTTTCTCCAATTTCTCCTAAAATTCCGCGCATGGTGAAATGGAGCAAGTATTAAAAAAACGGAGGGAGTACTTCATAATTTACGAAGTACTATCCTTCAAGTAGGGTTGGCAAAGGTTGATCCGACTCGACAACAAGACCTAAAATAAATGGGTTTTGAGTGAGATTTTCGTTTAGTTTTATGTAATTGAATCAACTCAAATCCGACTAATAAACGGGTCTGATTAAGGTTGAAAATCCTAACTAAGAAATAACCAGCCTTACCAGTTTAACTAAATGGGTCGGTTTCGATCGGGTCATCTCGTATAACCCAAATAGTGAAATGATCCCGAGCCTTTAGTTTTAAATATGAACCCAAGCCCAAATATAAAAAGACTAAAGTAAACCCTAAATCTAAATGACTAAAAAGTAAAAAACCTTAATAGTCATTTTCTTACAGCCGTTTTCACCACTTTCCTCTCTTCATTCTCTCACCTATCTCTTCGTTCTCTCTCATGTGTTCATCAAAATGATGATTCAAGTTGATCCAACTTATTTATCTTCAGTCATCAAGGTAATTTAATCATCAATTTCATTCTCCTTACAATTAGGTAATTTAATTTGAGTTTATTTGTTGTGAATAATGAACAATTTAATTTTTTTTATTCGTTTTTTGTACCCTTTTTGGTTGGGAGTAAGAGAAAAAAAAGGAAAGGAAAATTATGGCTTCCTATGTTTGGTTTAAAAAATAAAAATTTGATAGGTAATGAAGTAAAATGGAAGGAAATCTCCCTTTACAAAATCTTCCCTTTCCTTTCCTCCAAAAATTTGGAGAAATTTGGGATGAAGGAAAGAAATTAAATTTATCAAGCTTAAAATTACTTTTTCCTTCCATTTCATTCCTTACCATTATCATACCCAACAATAGATTATCTCTTTTTACTTCCTTTAGTTATATCAAACCAAACATTAGATGATATAGTTCTTTTTCTTTTCGTTCTCTTTCTTTCTTTCTTTTTCCTTTCCTTCCTTTCCAATTACATTTGAATATAAGATTTTATAGTAATATTGGAAAATAAAAATAAATTAGCTATCAATTCAAAGTCCTAAGTACAGGGAAAAAAATGAAAACAAGTTAGCATTAAAGAAAAAATATAAGAAAAATAATTATATGAAGCAAAAAAGACAAGTGTTACCATCAAAAGAATTTGAAGCTCGTCGAAACTCGGCCACATTAGCATTATATAAATACTCTAATATTTTCTTACTTAGCAAAATTTTCATGCATTCTTGAAGCCATCTTTTAATTTGCATGAAATAATTAGGAACGAAATTTTTCAATCTTTCAATATTATCTACGATAAATATTATCATATATATACGACTTATAGAATCTTTAACACATTTGGAAAATAAACATTGATAATAGGATATAGTGTAGCAGAATAAATATTTGCCATCTAAAAAAACATACTCTTCCCCACTCTTCATTACCTGAGCAATGAATGTATTTATTATTAACTTTTTTAAAATGAAAAAACCTTTTTATAATACACAACGTATTGCAACAATAAATAATTTAAATTCCAAAATCTTTGGCATAATCAAACTCAACATAACCCGCCTTATTTATCTCAAAAATATAGATATACAGTGTTATATGAGATGGTACAAATGAGAAAAGCAAGTTTTTTTTTCTTATTCTTTAAATGCAATAATCATATTAAATTTCTTATTGTGTATGCAAATACAAGTTCAAAATAATGTGTAATACCCCGTATTTTCATACGTATTTTCCTAATTAATTAATTAATTAATTATTATTTTCTAAAAAAGGGTATTGTAGTAATTCAACTTACTATTTAAATCTTGGAGGCAAAATGATATTTGAATTTTGGCGCCAAAAGTATTTTAAAAACAAATTATTATTTTAGATAAGATTTATTACATTTATCCTATTTTAAAAACCGGATTATTTATATATTTCGGATATTTTAATTAAGGCAAAAGCTATATTTTATTTTTATTTTAATAAGTCTGAAAATCCCATTTATTTTACTAATAAATTTCGGATTTTACTATGTGAAAATCTAATTTTATTAGTTAAATTATTTGGTGAATATTTGGTATTTTATTATTTAATAATTTTATTCAATAAATATTATTTATACAATTATTTTAATTCCTTAAAACTAGCAAAATAATTTCCTAAATACTAAATAGGAGGGCCAAAAATATGATCTTAGGAAAGCTCAAAAATTTCGGCCATCCCATGTAGATTTTGGGAAAAATATTTTGGTAATTTGTATTTTTAATTATCTCCTTAAAATCTCTTATTTTCCTTAATTCTAATTCTCCATCTTTTTAATATCCAATCATTATATTTTCTTACCTTTCATTCTTCTTAATTATTCCCCAAGTAATTCCAATTTCCTTAATATTTTTCATGACATACATACCTTCCATATTCAATTATACACAATCTCTTCAATATTAAAACTTTCCTTAAATCTTTACTCACTTCTCCAAGTAATCCCTTAAACCCTACTTACCATAATTTTTCCTACATTTTTCTAACCTAATTCTTGCATGAGCTAGCCTATAAATACCCCTTCATACCTCTCACATTCTTCACATCAATTCTCTTCTTTTCTTCTCCTCAATTTTACACAAACTATCTCGTTTATCTTTGAAGCCATTTTTCGAGCACTTCTGGTCAGTTTTGGGGTATTGACGTTTCACACAAAAATTGTTTCTCTCAAAAAATCCTTGAGGTTAGGCTCAAAAATCACCTAATTCGAAGTTATAACGAAGGAGTTATAGCCTCTGCAAGTTCTGCGTCCTTTTTCCAACGCAAATCCAATTCTTTTTTCTCCTTGGTTTCTTACCTTTCATTCTTCTTAATTATTCCAACGCAAATCCAATTATTTATTCAATTATTATTATTATTATTATTATTATTATTATTATTATTATTATTATTATTATTATTATTATTATGGGAGATTAATAGGAAATTATTACTATTCAAAAAATATATATATAAAATTATTATGAGTAGTTTTAATTATATTTTAATTAATTTAAAAAGTTCATGTACATATAGTAGGGAGGGTTTAATTTAATTGTTTGTGATTATTTATTTGTAGGGTTTTTTTATCAAGCTACTTGAGAGTTCTTTTGATGTTATTTTTGGCTAAGCAAGGATCAAGGTACGTTAGGTGGCTAGATATCTTGAAAGTGATCGATTTGAATGAACATGTTTGAATGATTTATGTTGCTTGAATTATGGTTTATGAAATAAAAGTATGTTTAAAAGAATGGTTTTAATAATTTAATTGGAGTATTGATTTTTATAACATGTTTTGATCAATTATTTATTATTCATGTTTAAAAAGGATTGATTTTGAAAGCAAGTTGGATTTATTAAAAAAGAGTTTGGATTGTTTTCATTAAAGGTTGAATTATTGGATTTAAAAGAGGATTTATTGAATAACTGATTTATTATTATGCTTTATAAGCATGTTAATAATCCCACTATGAGGATTTGGTTTATTGATAAGGCCTTGGACTTTGTATGACTGGGTCTTTCCTCAAGAATAGCCTTGTAATATAAGAAGACTAGCTTGGGGGAGTGCACAATTGGGAGAGGAATTGGTTTAATTGGTTTATTATGAGGAATTAGTTTTTATAACATGAGGAGTTGGTTTTAAAATAATTAGAATTGGTTTTATTGATTATTGAGATTGGAATATTGAGAATTTGGTTTTGAATCATGAGTTTGGAATTATTGGATTAATTATTGGAATGGTTTTAAAGCATGTTTGCAAATAAATTGAGTTTAATTATCTTGCACTTACCGTACTTAGCATATTTTGCTAACCCGTACTTCTTATTTATTTTGGTTCGCCCTGTTTACCGTAATGGTAAGCAGTGTTATTTCAGGTGAAGTGAATAAAGTGATGCATGGAGTCCCAGGATTTGGTTTCACTAATTTAGGAATCTTGGTCTTTGTATTTTATTTGAGTACACATGACATTGGTTTCTATTTATAGTTATTATTAATAAGAAGAGTTTTGAAGTTTCCTCTGCAAAGTATTGTTTTGTTTAGTAAGTTGAGTAGCCTTGCGTTGTAATACTCCTCATGATTGCTTTAAAAGGATTTGATATACTACTCATATCAACAAGGTGCATCTTCCTTTTAGGGAGCTCATTTGCTAAGATACTCCACAGTTAAGCGTGCTTGGTTGGGAGTAGTCTTGGGATGGGTGACCTCCTTGGAAAGTTTTCTCGGGGTGCGCATAAATGAGGACAAAATGTGCCGGAAGGACTTGTGTTGGTTTGTGGGGACAGTTGTTGGCCCTCGATGCGCATTTCGTGACAATAGGCCCCTCCCTAATTTGTTTGGGGTCGGGGTGTTACAAATGGTATCAGAGCAACCCTGCGACCGCGTGCTGACCGTGGATAATTAATCCTATGTCAGTCGTCTAGCGGGGGAGAATTCTGGGGCCATATGGCCATAGCCAGACTGGATGTAACACTTTGGCTACCCAGTTGCCATCAGGCGTAATACTGGAGTCACTAGCTTTCTAGGTGCAACGAGGGCGTTGCCGTTCTCAAGTGGGGGTGTATGTAATACCCCCCTCATGATTGTTTTAAAAAGGATTTGATATACTACTCATATCAACAAGGTGCATCTTCTTTTTAGGGAGCTTATTTGCTAAGATACTCCATAGTTAAGCGTGCTTGGCTGAGAGTAGTCTTGAGATGGGTGACCTCCTGGGAAGTTTTCCTGGGGCGCGCATGAGTGAGGACAAAATGTGCCGAAAGAACTTGTGTTGGTTTGTGAGGACAGTTGTTGGCCCTCGATGCGCATTTCGTGACAATAGGCCCCTCCCTAATTTGTTTGGGGTTGGGGTGTTACATGCGTAACCACGCGGCGGTAATACGCCTAAGTTTATCTCTACGGTATAATTATACGTATTATACTAGTATTTCCGTAGAGGGAGATTCGGGGGGTGTTACATAATGAAGTCAATTAACTATTTAGTTTTAATAAAAATATTACAAACATTTAAAAGATAAAATAATAATTTAATTAGCATTAAAATATTTAATATGGGAAAGATAATTTGCATATTTGGAGTATAATACATATAATTGTATTTGTTAATATATATTGGGTTAGTTATACATTTACCATTTTTATATATAGCTGTACAATTATTACAGCTCAACTAACTAATTAAAGCATTAAAGTAGTATTCTAACCACCTAGTTGATGTGGCACTAGTTTGTTATAAAACTTGCTGAGTCAGCTTCTTGAGTATAGCTCACAAGTAGAGTTCACAATTTGAGGACTTCGACCAAGTGGCGGAAAATTTTATCATTCCTATGTTTGATCAGAACTTGGACTATATGATAGAGTTTCAAGTTTATCTCAATCCACAGACAATTGCTTCGCAGTTTTACTCGTTACGAAAGAATTTTACAGAGATTGTCTATATTGCACTATCTAGAGTTTTAATAAGTTCATGGGAGGAAGAAAACGGTGCGAATATTCATGGGGAGAGTGCTGAGAGTGTGGCTGAAAATTACCTTAATGGTGATGGTAAAATGGAGGTTGGTGGTGGTGGCGGCGTTGGTGGTGGTGGTGGCAGCGGCGGCGATGGTGGTGGTGAGCATGAAATATGTGCTAGAACTGTTTGCTGCACCAATATTGATAAGAAGGTTACAGAGGCTGAAATCAAAGGGTTTTTCGAGATAATCTGTGGAGAGGTTTGTGGCTTAGTCTTGCCTAGAAGTTTAGTGTTATATTATTACTTTTTATATGTTTGGTATTCAATGAATTTGCTGTTAATCTTATTTATTTGTTTCAGGTTCGTCGCCTGAGGATGCTTGGAGATGATCGCCGTTCTACTCGGTTTTATCTTGTTGAGTTTGACAGGGTAATTACTGATATGTTATTGGAGATGTTTATAATTTAGTTGCCTCCGTAATGTTATTTTTGATCCCATATAATAATGGACTTATTGTCCATTATTTCTGTCCTCATTCAATTATTATCTTGTGTTCTTGAGTCTGGTATTATGTTTCCAACTCATGCATAATTATATACTATAGAAGTGATATAGTTGTAAAGTAAGATAGCTCATGTATTTTTACCTTTCTGTTAGAGCTTTTTCACCGAGGAACCTTTCAACTAAACTATCTCCGATTATCTGATGTGTTCTTTATGTTTTGACCTCTCTAGGCTGAAAGTGTTGTAGCTGCTCTTGTACCCAGATGACTACTCCCCCATAGCAACTGAAGTTGTAGCGTAACTATTCTCAAACTCTAAAATTTATCAGTTTCTTTTAATTGTTGATAATTTTCTTGTGTTCTGGTTGGTTGTATGACCTTTTGGTTCTTGTTTTATGTTGTTGATAATTGCTACTTTTTTTCATGTTGTTGATGTTTGGTTGCTTGTAGTTGATGATTGGTTGCTGGTTTTTTGTGTTGATCATGGATGGTGGTTTATGGTGTTGATAATAGGTTGCTGGTTTATTGTTGATTACTGGTTTAGTTGGTTTGTGGTGTTGATAATTGGTTCCTAATTTAATGTTGATTACTGGTTGGTTGGTTTGTGGTGTTGATAATTGGTTCCTGGTTTGATGTTGTTGATTATTAGTTGGTTGGTTATTGGTGTTGATAATTTGTTACTGGTTTGTTGTTGTTGATACTTGGTTGGTTGGTTTGCAGAATAAGTTAAGAGGATTGAATGCTCTTAAGTCCTTGTCATGTCCATAATATGAATGTGTTGATGATGTTTGATGATATCATGAAGGAGTTATTTAGGTCCTAAAAAATGCAACAATGATGAATGAACCCAGATGAATAAGTATGATGAATGTTTTGATGAATTTGGAATTAATGATTGATGAATTCATGAATGAAAAAGCGAGTCCCCTTGATTAAGCATTGTGTGTTGGTTGGTTTGTTGTGATAGCTCTGTGAAAAGAGTCCCCCAACTGTTTAAAGCTATCACATGGTATTTTAAAATTAATTAAGTTGTTCATATGATGAAAAAACCATACCCTTTCTGATGGACATAACTTAACAATGCACTTTTAATTGCCTTTGTTTTCCATGTGACTGCTGCCCTGTTTTTGCTGCTCCTTATAAAACTGCTGTTAAAAACAAGGGTATGGTTTTTTCATGTACCTGCTGCCATGTTTTTGCTGCTCCTTATATCCTGTTGGACATAACTTAACAATCACACTTTTAATTAACAATGCACTTTTAACTTAACAATCACACTTTTAATTGCCTTTGTTTTCCATGTGTTTGCTGCCCTTTTTTTGCTGCTCCTTATAGACTGTTGTTTTGTGACAAAAGGGAATATCCCATACGTTCCACTATTCAAAAGACTACCATCTGAGTCATACAGTGGCTTACCAATGGCTACCTCAAACATTACCTTACCTTGAATCTCTTAGATTGTTGACTTCTATAAGGGTCCTCCTGTGTTGGTAAAAGGTAGAACCTCCTAGTTTCAGGGTTCAAATAGAACCACTTTTCTTTTATATGGACCACTTGCTTCATATCTATGTATATAGGGTTACCCTCATATGGTATAGGGTGTATATGGTCTAGTACCCACTTCATTCTTGCTATCTTGTGTTTTGGTATTAATGCAGGGTGATTACTACTACTGTGTGCTCTAATTCTTCCCTTTTTCTTCCAATTGAACACAGTAGTAACTAAGACATTTGAAGCATGTGCATATGTCCTTAATTTGGTTCTTTTATAAAGTGGGACTTATTGTAACACATCATCTGAAGTAATCATTGGTTTAGGACCTGTTTTACCTTTTTTGCCACTACTTAAATCTATTTCCTTTCCCTCTGCCATCTACTGTTGGATGTACTTGTAAAGTCTGCCCACTGTTGTTCTATGGATGCCACATTTTGATGCAATTTTGGTTTGAAATCCCCATGGCATTTTCCCAAATGTCATGTTCAGCATGATTTCATCACCAATGGTCCTCTTCTCTTGCTCTGTCAGTTGTTTTCTCCCTCTGTCTTCAGTTTGGAATGGTTGTTGTTCATCTTCTGTCCCTAGTGACTTTTGATGTTGCTGCTGTCCTTGCTGTTCATTCAATGATTCAGGGTCTGAAAAATGACTCATGGTTTCTTCCATGAGCAGTTGTTCAACCCCAAAATATTCTTCATCAAAGAAATCATCCATTCTCTTTGATGTATGGGTCCCCTTTTTTCAGATAAGAAGGAAGGTAATGAAGTTTTTTGGCGCTGGTTTTTTGAAGTGGAGAAGCTGAACCTAAAATGCTGTTATTTAACCACTGACTTAGATGTAAGAAGGTAGTTGTAGGGCTAAGCTTAAGGTTGATTTTTTAGGATGATTCCTCTTAATTAAACAATGAAATTTATGGTTGAAGATGTATGTAAGGGTGATGAACTGATGAATTTGTAATCTCACAGCATAAGCTATGTTTTGTTGTAGCTACAGTTGAACAATGAAACTGAAATGGAGCCCTTTTATAGGCTATGGTATGGAAAACTCCACTCCAAACGGTTGGAGGGAAAAAAAGAGTCCCAAAACTCACTTGGAATTTATTCAAATTTTGGTGAAAAAAGTTGGAGGGAAAAAGAATTCCCAAAAACTAATGGAAAAAAATTTTGATGGAAAAAGGGTGGGAAATTTCAACACCCATGTGGGTCTCCCCAAAATTCTGCCAAAAGCATAATTTTAAGGACCCACATGGGTCCTCTTTCCCTCCTTTTTTCTTCTTCTTAATTACATTACTTAAAATCCCCTAATTCATGATTTCCTTATTTTGCATTAGAGTTCGTTATTCAAAAAGGGTGCAGATAATAAAAACCAAAGGAAGTATTTTTTTTCCTTTCTAAGTTTTTGTTTTTTTTTTTTTTTTTGTTTTATATCTACAAGTTTAGAGGAGCACACAACTCGTGCATGATTACCTCTTATTTGCTCCTCCATCTACGTGCATATTTTGTTCTTATAAACCCGTCTATATACTTGTAATACGTGCAAACTTGTCATACGTGCAAACTTGTCATGTAAGAATTAAATTTCCCTTTTTGTATTTGCATGATATATAGTACTGTATCATTTAAAGTTTTATTATTACACATTATAAATTATAAAATAAAAAAGAAATTAAATTATAGGTACAACATTATCAAACTTCTAATCAATTTCAAATGAATACAATTAATCAAATGTAAATGAAATTTGGATCACAACAAAAAAAAATAAAATAAAATTGCAGGTAGATAAATTAGGGTACAACTTAGTCTTCCCAAAAAATAAGAAAATATCAACAAAATTTACCAAAAGATATGGATTATGGAACAATGAATTGTAAAATTAGAATTGTTTGGAAGGGTACTTTTCGCAATTTTTAATATAGACCATGGTGCACATAGCTTTCGGTGCACCATCCCACTAAACGACGTAATTTTAATTTTTTTTTTTGTGCACTTCATCTATAATTTGACATTTAGTAAATATTTTTGAACATTTAACAAAAAAATGAACATTTCTTTAAAAAAATATGAACATAAACATCCAATTTAATATGTTCATATTTTATAATGAAATGTTCATTTTATATGCACTAAATGTTCAATTTATATTACGAAACTATTGAATTATTCAGAGTCAGAAAAACTTCTTTCAAAAAATTGATGTTTATAAAATAATGTGTTCACATTTAAAATTTCAATGTTCATTTTCAAATAATAAATGTTCAAATTCGAGTAATGTCATGTTCATATTTGTGGATGCTCATTATAAGATATTGTATATTGAACACTGTAGTAACTGAAACATTTAAAGCACTTGCATATGTTTTAATTTGGTCCTTTTACATAGTGGGACTGATTGTAAGACATCATCAAAAATTACCATTGGTTTTCTACCTGTTTTACCTTATTTTTCCATTGCTCAAATCAATTTCCTCCCCCTCTGTCATCTTCTATTGGATGTACTTGTACAATCTGCTAATTGTTGTTCTGTGGATACCATATTTTGCTGCAATTTTTGTTTGGAATCCCCATGGCACTTTCCCAAGTGTCACGTTCAGCATGATTTCATCACCAATGGTCCTCTTCTCTAGCTCTGTTAGTTGTTTTCTACCCCTGTCTTCAGTTTGGAATGGTTGATGATCATCTTCAGTCCCTGGTGAATGTGGATGTTACTGCTGTTGTTGATGTTCATTATTTGAATTAGGTTCTGAAAACTGACTCATGGTATCTTCCATGAGCAATTGTTCAATTCCAAAGTATTCTCCATCAAAGAAATCATCCATATTCTTTGATGTATGAGTCCCGTTTTTTTTTCAGATTACAATAATGAAGTTTTTTGGCGCTGGTTTTTTGAAGTGGAGAAGCTGAAACTCAAATGCTGCTATATTAACCACTGACATAGAAGTAGCGTGGTAGTTTTAGGATTAAGCGTAGGGATGATTTGTGAGAATGATTCCTCTCTTTTAAACAATAAAATTTTGGTGTGAACTTGTATTTATTGGACATGGATTTGAACTTGTAATCTCACAGCATAAGCTGTGTTTTGTTGTTGCTAAACAAAAACAGTGAAATGTGGAATGAAGTCTTTTTATAGGTTGTGGTATGAGAAAGTCCCTTGGAATTGGTTGGAGGGAAAAATATGAGTCCCTTAAAATTTGTTCAAATTTTTTTGGAAATAGTTGGAGGGAAAAAAAACTCTCCAAAAAAATGAGTTCCAAAAAATGAAGTGGGAAAAAAAAGAGGGAAATTTGTTGACCCATGTGGGTCTCTTTAAAAATCTATCAAAATCAGATTTTTTAACTCCCACATGGGGTCCTCTTTTCCCTTCTTTTTTTCTCCATAATTACACTACTTCAAACCCTCTAATTTCTCATTATCTTATATTGCATTGGAGTCCATGTATCAAAAAGGGTGCAGATAATGAAAAACGGAGGAAGTATGAAAAGTTTCGTGCGAGTGCATATTATTGCCTAACCTTAAGACAAATTGGACAATTTACTTAATATAGGTGCGATATGATATATGGGTTAGGCAAAGTTATGATATCGTTAGTAATCTTCAGATTGTAACTGATCCAGTAATAACGTGTGATATGATATACTTAATTGGACAATTTACTTGATTTACTAACCAAATGCATGAAATGAATTTTAGTAATAACCAGCTATAAGTAGGCAAAGAATATGCTAATTGATATGATAAACTAAAGTAGCTAGCTAAAGTAATAAAGTGCGATATGATATCCTAAACAGCTAACTAAAATTTGTTACCGCTAAGATAAGTAACGTTAAATAAGATATTTTACAATAAATTTGACAAGTACAGAATATAGTATGCTAAAATATACTCTGACAATATCATTATGTGTGTGTATATATATATATGGGGAGTGAATCATGTGAAAACAAGAGTTAAACTGAAAACAAGCAATCTCAATCATCGTTTAAAAAAATCAATGGCCAAGATTAGATCTATGCTAATTATAATAACGAAATCTGATCCATCCGCACAGTTACAAAAAGCTTCCCCTTCACGCTTCCTCATCAAGTGTACAAGACACTTTTTCTCTCCTCTAATTCCCAATTCGATGCTTTTGGGGTTTTCCTTTCTCTCTGCTCTTCTCTCCCTATCAATCAATAACTTAATTTTCTGAAATTTTCTGTTGATAATTCATTGTGTTTTTTGGTGTTCGATCTTGCTATATAGTTTTTTCCCTTCAATTTGAATGTTCAAGCTTCGCGAAATTTAGGGTTTCTAACACTATAATATTTTGCGATTAATGAGCTAAACGCTGGCAAAAATGTTAAGGATGAAGAGGAAATACAGACAATTGATTTTTTGGTGTTGATGATCGAGTTTTTGAGTTGATTTCTTCTGATTCTAGAAGTTTTGACTTTGAGCTTCATTTTGCTTTCTCTTTTATTTTTGAAAGTAATTCAATCCTTTTCTTTATGTTATAATTATCTAAATTTACCTATTTTGATTTTGATAATTTGATTATCTTTATTTTTTCAATTATCTTTATGTCGTGTGATGAATTGATTGTTAGACTGGAGAGCAAGTAGATATATATGAGATTATTCGATTTGATTATGTTCAATTTAATTTTGTTATTCATGAAATCAAATTGATTTCTAGGGTTCATAATCGAATTTTTTTAGTTGTATTGCTTTTTTAGTTGATTTTACTAGATAAAGGATAGCAATGTAGGACAATAGGACGTGTTGTGTTATTGATACGTGTATCAAGTATGAGGTATTATTATCATGGATGACTAATTAGGTCAAAGCTCGGCTAGATTGGTTTCCTAGTTGATATATTTATACGTCACCTAATAATTTCATAACAGCAATTCAACATACATGTTTTTTTTTTCAAAACTTGTTTGGATTGAAACAAACTTTAAGGGTCATTTTGGCCAACTTTTGGATACGATGTTTGTTGGTGAGGTTGAAAATTTTATGGCATATGCATTCTATCCAACAATTCTTGTTACCCCACTAGGAGCCTGAAGCATTATTGTTAGGTGCTTCTTGTAACCTTTCATAATTTCTTTTACATATCTCAAAACTCTTCCAGGGTTTTAGTGATTCAGTTGAATTGATTCTCAAATCATATGATTTATGCGATTATTTATATATGATGGGTGATATGCAGTGATGTGTTAGCTCATTTTATATTGAAAGAGAGATTGAACAAGTTGGGGATCTTGGGTTGTGTAATGTGCATTGTTGGTTCTGTGATCATAGTAGTTCATGTACCAAAAGATTTCAACAGCTTCTAGTTTCATTATGTTTTATTTTCCCTGGATATCTAAATCATGCTCAACTTGATTAATTGATATATCAATATGAACAACAAATTCATATTTTAGGCTAAGTGTAGGCGTCGCGCGAAGTGCGCTTACGTGTGCATACATGAATATGCATGGCTTTCGTAGGAAGTGGGATTTGACAAGTATACGCCGTAGGGAGGAAGTAAAGAGTCGCCAACAAGTTTTAGGAACTTGTAAACCGTTCACAAATTGTGAAGGTTACACCCCATTCACAATCTATGAGATTGCTACCATATTGGTTGCGAACCATGACTGGATATTCGGGGATGATGGTACAAGGTTGAATTATGAAGACAACCCCGCCCGTATAGTCCTTTACTCGATTCTTATTGCGACATTTGTTCCTTACAATTTGACTAGCATACAAACAATGGTTCAATTCGCTCCAAATTAAAATTAATCTAAATTGGTTGAATATTTAATGCACACATAGATTCTAATGAATCGTGACAACTTCGAATTAAAATAAGATTAAAGGTACCTAATCTGGTCGTCCAAATTATCTTAATTTAATGTGGTTTGCAAGTACATATTTCCTTTAATAATCATGCAAAAAGTGGTGATTCAATAAAATAAATAAAGTATTAAATTAAAGAAGCAATTTAGACGAGAGCAATTATAATCGTACAACATTAAACATAATTATTAGGATGATCCAAGCATGATAATAATAGTTTAGTAACATCCTAGCATGATACTAATAATTAAAATAAACATAACAATCCTAAACATGATTCAATAATAATTATAATCAATACTCGTGGTAGATAATTGAAATACTTACGTTGAAGTTGCCGGCTTTGTACTACAAAATCAATAAATCGTTAGTAACTTCAAAGGAAAATAAATCAAATTAAATAAAAGAGTATTAAAAATAATTAAAATAAATATAATATGTCTAAACCCTCAGAACATATCAAAATTTTACGCCTTGGCTTCAATGATGGATCATATGTATCGCGTATGGACTTTTTATCGTGTTTAGGATTAATCGTGTTTAAGGTTTAATATGTTTGGAGTATGTTTAGGGTTGAGAATTATGTGTGTAATGCTATTATGCTCGATTCTCGTGTATGTCCGTATGTGAAAATTAGTCTCGTATTTATAGGGAGGTTGTACGAATATTCAGAAATAAGGAAAATAATCAGCGTCGGAAAATAGGATTCAGCGTCAGACTTTGCAGATCAGCGTCCAACGTCGAAGAGAGAAGAGGAACGCTAAATCAAGGCCAGCGTCTGACACGTGGCTTTAGCACCACAATCTTGCTGTCAGCGCCATTGTTGTAAATATAGAAGAAATCTATAGTAATAGTATAAAGAAATAACAAGTAAGACTGAAAAATTGATCTCACAAAACAAAGGAACAAATGGTGTGTCGTGATGCAAATCACTGACTTGAAAACGAAATTTCGGCACAACCACGGTGCTCAATTGTATTAGCTGGCATGTTCCCTAAGGTTAACACACCTCTTCCACACAAAGGCACTTTTGGGTGGAAGGTTGGAGTCAATTATCTTATTCCCAAAGAGAGATGTGTTTAAGCTATTGTGTTTGAATGTATTTTCAAGTGTATGAAATCAGAAAATTATTCTCTAATATATAATAGAGATTGAGGTAGATGAAAAGATCATAGAGAGAATATTCTTGAATAAGAAGAAGAAGTCAGAATTATTATGGTGGTTAAAAC